TGACACCTCATCTGATAGCCATTAGATCAAAAAAGATCAACGGCTCTGATTTGTAAGCACGTGACACCATTGATCTTTTTTTATCTAACGGCTCTCAGATGAGGTGTCAAACTTCAAATTTGACACCGGTGTCAAATTTGAAGTTTGACACCTCATATGAGAGCCGTTAGATAAAAAAATATAAAAGACATCTGATTTGTAAGCATGTGACAACATTGATCTTTTTTTATCTAGTGACTATCAGATGAGGTGTCAAATTTCAAATTTGACACTAGTGTCAAAGAATCCTACCTCTATATATATATATATATATATATATATATATATATATATATATATATATATATATATGAATGTCTTCATATGGTTAGTCATATGGCTTGTCATGAGTAATTCCAAACATACATTTTTTGTATGGTTACTTGGTAAGTCACATGTCTTTTTCTTTTTTCTAAATTCAAATTTATGGTCATACGTTTATATGAAAAGGCAAATTTGGTATTATGGTATAGAAATATTTAAAAAATAATAATGAATGTCTTCGTTGATAATTTTGGCAGTTTGTATAAATATCCTAAACCTTCAAATTCTAAATTTCAAATCCCTTGAGATTTGTTGATACTTTAATAGATTTAATAAATTTAAAACAGCAGGTCGATGTCAACGCTTCAATAATTATTTAATAAAAAGACTATTAAATTTGGAAATGGATCCTCTGACGTGGAAAAAAACATGATAGGGTCATGTGAAAAATCACAGGGTCATGTGAAAAATCACAACCATACAAAAGTAAATCAATGGTTATGATTTCGTAACTATTTATTCTAATATTTTTTTTCTCTCTTTCATTATTATTATTGATCCACCTTTGTATGGTTATGATTCCTCACATTATTTTTTTTTTTTGTAAATAAAGAGGGGCTAAGCCCTAGGTCATGTGAATTTTCACATGAGAGGATCCAGATCCATTAAATTCACAGTCGTGTTAGGTATTTTAAATCCAATTTATAAATAAAGAAATAAAAGAATAGTGTGATGATGAAGATTCAAACTATAAACAGAAAGGCTTAACGTTACAAAGCATTTTTAACGAAATTGTTTACGGAAGAACTTGGCCGCTGAATGCATATACATGTGCAATGTACTTACTATTTAGTGATTGGTTGCAGTAAAACTAAATTATAACTTGTATAAACTTTACCTGTGTACAAAAAAAAACTTATGTAGTCTCATGTTGTATGAGAGAAGAAATTTTATGTTATAGACACATAATGATGAGATCACTACCTAAAAATAAAAATAAAAAAAAAAGAAAAATGTTGCACGGTTATCGAAAGGTGTGTAGAAAGAAAACTTACCTAATGTGACATAAAAATAATTTTTCCCATAAAAAAATAGATAAATAAATTTTACCTGTAGTGCGAAAAGTTTGAATCTTGGAGTCGCTAGGGATTTTACCTACTTAGTTAAAGAGAAAAAATAAAAAAATAATATATATATATATATATATATATATATATGTTAAAATCATTTCTCCAGCCGCTTGACGTCCTCATAAGTGTATAGTTATGATTCCTCACATTTAATAATTTCACCTATATATATGGTAACTATTTAACTGTTAGACATCAAGCAGCCGGAGAAACGTAAATCGATACACACACACACATATATATGGCTTATCGTTTCTTAAGCTGCTTGAGATAATTTTATCTGCGACTACTAAATCGTAATCGTATAAAGAAGGATTAATAGTGATAAAAGAAGAGGAAAAAAAAGAGAATCATAACCATTCAAATGTGAATCAATTAATATAAGAAAATAAATAAACAAAACGACGTAGTTTTGGGGTGGACAGAGATAAATATATCTCAAGCTGTTTGAGAAATATTTTTCTCATATATATATGTGTGTGTGAGAGAGAGAGAGCTATGATCCTTTGACACAAAATGCTAACCTAATTTGAATAACATATAGACCCATAAGGTTTAAAGTTCAGAAAAGGCCCATAAAGGCACAATGATCCCAGTGCACAGAATATACACACAAGCATTGCACAGACTACCATGTAAAGCTGGGCAAAAAAAATTAAAATATTGAACTTTTAATAATTAATAATGAATTGGTAGCAGTTTGGAAACTAATTTCGGATCTATTGCAGTCATTCACGCGGGAGAATTCACGCCCAAGTGAGGCAGGAATTGCAGGAAATTCACGCCCAAAGTAGGCGTGACAACTCACGCCCAATCCAGGCATGAATTTCTTGGCCTATAAAAACCCTCATCCAGGCGTGTACTTCGCTAATTGTTGAGTTCCGCATGATATGTGTTGGCCTTTTCTCGCCTTCAAAAATAACACCACGTCGACCTTCCATTTTTCTACCATTATAATATAAAACAACACGAACAAAATCAGAATGTGAACTCATTCTTAACTATATTAATAAAGAAAAACACAAAACAGAGTATGCATAAGCAAGTGAGAATGTATCGAAGACTAAGAAGTTAAGATGAAGAAGAGTTGTGATGAATGTGGAGATGAGAGGTGTTTATATAGGAAAAATAGGTGTCATTCACGCCGAAATTGGGCTGGAAAGGGGGCTGAGTCACGCCTAGAATGGGCTGGAATATCCAGTGATTCACGCTTGCATGGGGCGTGACTAATCACACCTATGTTGGGCGTGAATGACGTGGAATTCACGCCTAACATGGGCGTGAATTCTCCCGCCCATTTTGGACGTGAATGACTGCAATAGATCCGAAAATAGTTTCCAAACTGCAACCTATTCGTAATTAATTATTAAAAGTGTAATATTTTAATTTTTTTTCCTGTAAAGTTGCCTTATATATCTCAAAGACTAAGGAAAGTCATGGTAACGAGCTGAGTTCTACCGCGCATAAGGGCCAACACAAGTAAGACAGCTCCAGCTTGCCACTGCTCTAAGAAGACAAGATATTGTATAGACTTGATCACCAAGAAAATAGCCAGAAAGACACAAATTGAGACAGAGAGGCAGCAATCCACAACAACCAATAAGAAGGTACGCCGCTTACAAAAAGGCGGCACAAAACTTACTATAAATATAAAGAGAACAAATCCAGGTATGATCCTGATTCCAATAAACTATAACATATATCTAACATTGATACTAACTTGAGCGTCAGAGTGTCTTTACATGTACTCTTAATCACTTTCATTGCGCCAGAATCGCATTATAGCCCTTACAAGGAGAAGCACATACCACTATAGATTCGAGCCTACTTGTTATAATTCTAAGGCCCAAAGTCTTCAACCTTCAACTGTGTGTGGTTTGGCCCATCTTATCTTGAACCGACCATATCATAACCGTTGATTTTTGCTAATCAATGATTATTATTTATTAGGAATTAATAATTAATTAATAAATTTTATTGGCAAAAATTAACGCATAAGATTTGATGTCAAATTTTAAAATTTAACGCTAGTATTAAAGAATTCTATGCTATATATATATTTGTCAACTTTGTGTACCTCAATATTTTTGGCAAAACGACCTATGATCCCAATAAAATATATTATGTATTACAAAAAAAATAAATAAATAAATAAATAAATATATTACGTAATAGGTCCTGCATTTCATTCATACAAGATTAGACACGTTTTTTCGAAAGTTACATTAATTTTTATTCAAAATAAACTCGGATCAATTTAGCTTGGGACATGTGGCACATGAATAGGGTGCCAAACATAATGTATTAGATTGTTTTTTGATACATCATTATGTATTAGATTAATATTATGTTTGACATCGACTTAATTGAATTTTATTTTTTCAAATTTCATCACAACGGTCGTTCTTCCCAATATTTTTTCTCCAAGTTTGTCTAGTTACATATACGGGCCCTGTGGAATGTTCTCAGCGCAATTTTAGAAATTGCCGGCCAAGGGTTTGTTACACTAGCCCGAATTTCCTTTCCTTTCTCCCTGTGGAGAACCATTTTTAACCTTAATTAGGCGACTTTATTATTTTAATAGACTCCGTACATATGCAACACATATTAACTCTACGCATGATGGTAGTTAAAATCTCAATTTATTATTATGATTTTACGTTCTTACACAAAAATTATTTATTATTATGATTTTATGATTTTTTTATTAAAATGTGTTTATTAATATTCTAAACGTTTTTACGATTTTGTTAATATTCCAAACTATTTTTTATCTCCCTCTTAATTTTACTTAAAATCTCAATTTTAACCATCTTAAGCATAGATTCCATGACATCGATACCCGTAAATTTTTGCTATAACCTCCAAATCATTTAAGCAGTTTCTTTTAGTAGATTATGTGTATAAAAAACCAAAGCTCATCCATCTACCTTAGTCAGGTTTTCAGCGGTAACGCCTTTGTTTTATTATTGCTGATTCGCTGTCAGTTATAGTTGATTAAATATCTCCACGGAAGCATCAATAGTCCGTAAACAACCGCATAAAAAGCAGGCCCAAATAGCTACCCAGTAAGCTGGACCCTTTCTATCTAACTTAGGTATAGAGCATAATGTATGGATTTATTGTTTCGTAGAAAATAAATCATGTTCTAGGAGATTTTATTATGTAAAATTCACATTTTTTTTTTCTTCTCTTGGACTCATAAACTCCACACACTTTTATGTGTGTAAAAGATAAATTTATCTTCTACATCATAAAAAAACATTAAACCATGTAAATATATCATAAATACCGTTATAGCAATTTTCTCTAGGACCAAGTTCTATTTCATTCTCCTCTTTTATTTGTGTAGGACATACTCTAACCTGTAATCCAATGTATTTTGTCTAATTCCATCTTGCTTGTGATAGTAGGTACATAAATTTTTACATTTGCTTGCTGTGGGGCTGTTCTTGTTAAAGAGGTGCAGCTGGTTGCTATAATCGACATCGCAATCGTTTAGGGTCTAGCTCGGTGGCTAACTATATATTCAGTATGTAGCAATGTGCTGAAGATTCAGAAATGTTAGCACCGAGATGAGGTGCACTCTACATACAGGGGTCAACAGAAATGTACAGCATATAAAATGTAAATAAAGCGTGGATCATAAAAAAGTAATATATCTGCCTTAAATGAAAGCACAAACCTGAGTTTATTAGTGGACCAAAGATACTATGGGGGCTCTTTTTCCCTCACTACACAAAGTATACTATACAGCAGGCCTAAAAACATTGTACAAGAAAACAAAAGGGACTGCGGATGAATTGAAATTTTCATACACATTGGAGGTCAGCCGTTAATCATTTATCAAGACTGGTAAAAGGAGTAGGAAATTAACACATGTATGTCCAATGCAGGTTTCTCTCAAGATAAGCTGATGATAGTGTATTTTCCACCTCCCTGATTCTAGTCTGATTGCTCTAGCCTTTAGACATGAATTACCTGTAATTAAAATTCCATTGAGATAACATAATAAGGAATCAACAAAAATAAAGGATCATAATCATTAAATAAATATAAAACATAAAATTTAGCCAGAACATTGGCAATTCATTGGGTAATCCTCAAATGGTTAGAAGAGGCAGTATACTATAAGGTATATATGTTTTTGAGTGCTTTCAAAAATCTCACCCGGTCTGAGGTAGCCCTCTCCAATTCAGCAATTGGTGAGATTGAGGATGCCTTTGCAAGTAAGATGAACTGCTTGCTATACCATTTTCATCTCCTACAAATTGTTCCGAGTAACTGGAAGCTGGCGGAGACCATACCGGAACTATGCCTCCGTCCCTTTCTCTCCTAATACTACTTGAAGATTCTACAGTGGAATCTTCAGCTGCATTGCTCATCTCCATTGCAATATTGTATTGTAGCCGTGCATTGGTATGAACAGTCTGCAACATCCTGTCGTTCAATGTGTCTCTTTCATTTTGTTGTGCACTAACATTTACTGGCACTTCAGCTCTGCTATCTTGTCCTGAGTTTCGAAGATCCGAAGAAGTTTCTTCCTCTTCCACTCTCACCAGGGAAGCAGTGATGCTTGGAACCATCTGATCCTGGTAGCGCCGGGTAACAGGTGCGGGATTGTGCCTAATGGGTTCATGACTTTCCTCCATTTGTATGTCTTGAGGAAAAGCAAGAGGGACTGATTCAGAAGAGTCTCCAAGCCCTTCCTCAGTTCCATTTTCAATTGCAGCTCTTGAAGCTGCATCTTGTTGCCACATTTCTGAGAGTGCTTCTTGTAATCTGGCTTTTGCTTCATCTATTCCCACGATTGGAAGAGGATAATTTGATCCTAGCTCAATTCCAGCAGCTTGAAGTACTGATTCTGGTGCATTCCATGGATGATGTATCCACTCAGTTGGTAATCTAGCGAGTTCTGGAAGCCAGCGCCGTACATATTCTCCATTTGGGTCAAATTTGTATCCCTCAAACTATAAAATCCAACAACTGAAATGAGTGTATCTATTACTAGAAAATCTATCAGTTTTGACCATTCAAATAGCTTACAGTAGGCATAACTCAAAACGTCAATACCGATGTTAATAGTCAAAATTTCACAAACTCAAAATTCTATGATTGATCATATATATTTGACCAAATTCACAGGTTAAAAAAAGTGAAGATATCTTTCAATGGGGAAAAGTTGAGAGTAAGTAAAAGAAGCCAGAATATTGCCATGCCCCACACCAAGCAATGAAGCACCTCCGCTATCTGAAATCCAGTAACCATAGTGGGATGGTGTTTTGGCTTCATTCAAAATTGATATTCAAACAGGCAACAGGAATATAAATATAACCACTGGCTTGTATGCTGTACATACATTGTAACCTTTGGGGCAGTCAAGAGATGAGGCCGGAAACACTTATTGTTTTATTTCACTCTGGAAAAACTCTCAATGGTGGATAGAATTATCACCATGTGCACAAAATATAAAAACCAAAGAGTATATATAGATGGATTATGCAACACTTCGTATGGTTTTCCAGATTAAGACATAAAAGACATGCACATGCAAACAGATGATGATACATCCAAAAGGTCAACATAAGCTGGATTATGTAGCTTTTACAAAAAAGTAACAGAACCTGTGGATTATCAATTCGGTCAAATTCACGACTATCCGGGAGAGAACCAGATATGTACTGCCAACCAAGAGCATCACTCTCAAGATCTGCATCCAAGAGGGTATCCCAGAAATATTTCATTCCCCATCTCCAAGGAAGTTGCAGAACCTTCACAAAGAAACTGGAAACTACAACACGTATCCGATCATGCAGCCAACCAGTGGCCCACAACTCCCTCATGCCAGCATCCACCAAAGGGTACCCAGTTCTGCCTTGTCTCCATGCTTTAAAATAGCCTTCATTTACTACCCAAGGAAAGAACTTAAGGTGGCCTAGAAGAGGCCTTTCATGACTATTGGGATGGTTGAAACTAATGTACCTTGAATATTCTCTAAGACCAATAGACTTAAGGAACAAGTTCACGCTTTCTTCACCGGCATTGTTTCCTTCGTTGGCCCACAAAACTTGCTTAATGCGAACAAGATGGAATACTTTTTTTACACTCACCTCACCAAAATGCAAACAGGGTGAGAGAAATGAGGTAGTGGCACTGTCAGCCTTCCTGCGATTTTTTGAGTACTCAATCAGTGGACCGTTTATGAATGTCGTCAATGCCTTATTAGCATTGCTCCACCCAGGTGACCATGCTCTAGCAAGAAGTGCATTGCTTGCCTTCTCTGATTCATCTTCAAACACCAATGTATCACAAGGGCACCTTGATACATCACCTGAAGGAGGGCAAGAGTTGTCAACAAGTGCAAATTAAAGTAAAGCTTGACGGGTCACTAAAAATGAACAATTCCTAACAGAACAAGTATGTACTAAGAACACATGTACACATGGAGAGATTCTAAAAGCAACGCGATAAAGATTTTGCAGACAAAGCAAATTTTGACATCAGAAATCAGAATTGAACAATTCAAAAGAAGTTTTCTTGAATCCTTGTACATTTTAATTTCTGGACAACCATATTTGGATGCCTATCAGTTTATTAGGCACAATTAACTATAAATTTGTGCTTCTAAAATGAACTCTTGTTAAATATTATGCTCATTGCTTATACTTTGTACCATTTTGGTATGTTAAATAGAAACTTAGCAAGTGATTTAAATAGAGCATAGGTGTTTCCTCTCCAATTTAGATCATTAGTTAAGTAATGAAAAGGAAGCACAAAAGCTTAATGAATTATGCAGTTGGCAACTAATGAACATTATCAATAAAATAAAAGAAAGCTGAGACTAAGGAAAGAACAGAACAAAAGTAGACCTTGAATAATCCTTTTAGGTGGGAGAAGAGGTGACTCCGGGTCATAAGGCATGCTAAGACATCTTTCCCAAAACGCAGCAAAAGTTGTGAATGGTTGGCCATGGGCATCATTGACTTCCCATGGTTCATATAATAAATCCGCGTTGAAGGAACGTACTGTTATGCCCTGAGCAGTAAGAACCTCCTTTGCTCGTTGATCCCTGATAAGTGACAGTGGATCTGCAACATAGAAAACCATGAGTAACATACAGACAGAGCCTTCTCTCCTGCACTTTCGTAAGCAAAAGAATTGATGAATGTAAAATATTATCAACAAACAGAAATAGACCATTTCACTATACTTTTAAGACTATCATAAAGCAAATCCGAAAAGATGAATAGAGATCACAAAGTAGTTTGTATGAAGAAGTGACCACAGACAACCACAGTATTAACTGATAAGCGGTCGGAAAAATCAATCAAACAATGGTAATATCCTGTTCTGTAAATTGCCACCTGACTAGGAAACAACACACTTTACCAAACAATCAAAGAAACAATTCCAAATGATATAATCAAGGATCGTACAATCCCCAATGATGTTTATAACTGTAAAGAACTAATTACACCCAAAAGCTTAAGCTAACGGGTGAGACTACGGTTTTATATATCTCAACACGCTACTTCACACGAGAGTCCACTGGGCTTGAAGAAAGAAATTCCACTAAAAAGAAAGTGAGGGCGGTGAGGATCGAATCCGGTACACCGAGACTCTGATACCATATAAAGAACCAATTCAACCCAAAAGCTTAAGTTATTGGATGAGGTTACATTAATGATTTTATATATTTCAATAATAACTGAGCAACGAACTTCCCAAAATCTGGGTATCATATTTGCAGACAACAACAGATGAAATGCATTGAACAAAACAAAAAGTAGAACACTAATTATAGGAAATGAAAATGGGAAAATAAAATAAAATTCCCTGAAACTGCAAAGAGTACAATCATACAGACATATAAGAAGTAAAACACACTAAAATAGGATAAAATGATTAGAAACTGACCATATAAGTGGTTAAAAAAGAGTTGAGAAGCTCCGGTGGACTTAACAACCTCCAGTAGTGAAGAAACACTATCAGTGGACCTCTTAGTGATGAGAGGAGTGCCAAGACTTCTCAAAGAGGAATCAAGGTGAGCCAAACTGTGTTTGAGCCACCACCTAGAGACCCTGCCAGGGTAGTATTGACCCTCTTCTTCAGGTGCCCATATGAAAACTGCAACCACAGCTCCAGCTCTCACTCCTGCAATCAGTGCTGGGTTATCCTCTACTCTCAGATCTCTTCTTAACCACACTATGCTGCATCCACCACCTGACATATCTAGAAAACTTCACCCACCCCACAACCTCAAACTATTCACACACACACAACCCTCTCTATCAAGTTTTAACCATTTAAGGTAACTTGTATCTTTTCTTCCTTTCTTTTGAGTGCTGAAGAAAACCAGGCAAGAAAATTTAAGCCATAAATAGGTAAAAATCACAATTTGATTGATGATTTGGGTGGACAGCTTTTTGAGTTTGGTACTTATGTTTTATTTGTATTTCTCCTTTTTTTTGGGGGGTGAAATTATTTTCCTTGCAACAAATTCGTATTTTTTTTTTTCCTTTCACTCCCTAGTTGTACGAAAAAATAGCCTTTGGGTTTGACAGAATCGACCCGATGAGAGAGATAGATTGGAAAGAAGGGGAAGTGAAGAGGATTGGTTAACTGAGTGGGGAAGATACAATGACTTAGATAGACAAATTGCAGCCACAACTTTTTGTTCCGTAGATTTTTCGTTTTTTCTCTGCTCTTATCCTATACACTATGCAATAAATAAAACAAATCCAACACAGTCTCTTGTTTCTTCTATTTTCTATAAAAGTTAGGACTCACATGATGGATAATCGGATAAATCATGCAACTCCTTCAGCTTCAGATCTCTCAAATTTAATTTTCATTTTTTCATGCAATTTTTTTTTTCTCCAATTCCTATCAAACAAGTCACGACTCAGGTCGTATCACACTCACAGTGATACGATGGGAGCTGCTAGCAATTTAAGCACACGTTGCTTAATTTAATGAGATAAGAGTATTTAATTTGAACATAACTGGCACATTGCGATTGAATGCGAATATTCATGATAGTAAGCTACATTTACCTCAATTATTTTATTTGCACGTGCTTTCTTTTTATATGAAATGAAAAATCCATCATGTAATATTTTTATCGCACATATTAATTAATGGCAACCGATTGACGTTAACTGTTACTATAGCTAATGCTTACGAGCTTAATTTCCAATTTATTTATGGGTTTTATAAGTGTTATGTTGTAGGAAAAATGGTTGTGTTATGTTATACAGATTCATTTTGCTTGCTGGAGTTTTTTTTTTTTTTTGCTGCGGATCCCACAAAATATTGTGTGTGTAGAAAAAATTTTGTAATCATGTTAAATGATAGATGATAAACCCTTTATTTATACATGTTTTTTTAATTTCTGTCCTTAAAACAACAAAACGTACCTAGCTAGTTGCCCTCGTTATGTTCTTAAGCTTTACGCAGATGCCTAAACTGAAAATATTAGTTAATGATAATTAATATTCATTGATTATACTTAATTATTAGAATATTTGTTAACGCTTCGCTATCAAATTGCTTCTGTAGTTTTATCACGATTATTGAAACAGTAATCAGCCTATTATATGCCTCGTTTTTTATTTTATTTTATTTTTTAAAATAAAGAGTTTACTGTAAGAGGATATTCTTCCTATTATAAAATCAAGGTGAATCATAAACTTCAGTGAAAATTAACATTATTTTGAGTTTGTGGGCTATTGCCCTCAAACTGCAAAGTAAAAAAAAAAAAAGTTGGTCATGTGCACCATGTCAACTTGAAATTCTTGAATTCAAATCCATCTTATGCAATTATTATGAACTAAATGTCAAGCAAATAAATCGACCTCTTTGAAAATGTCATACTACCTTTTACATTATTCATAATTATCTCATTCACTGCCAATTTTTTTTCCGACTCAATTAACATATACTTACTTGTACATGTGGTTACGATATCAAACCATCACGCAAGGAAAGAAAGTCTGAATTGATTCTTTACTTTTCTGACATCTACAGAAGCAGAATTCACAATAGGGGTGTTAAGTAAACGTTTTTAACAATAGAAATATAGTACAACTAATCTGAGGTTTATAAAGTCTTGGATATTCTCATCCTTTGAGCTAGCTTTTGGGGTGGTGACCTCAGAGAGTGGGAGTGCTCAATGCCTTATAAACCTCACATTAGTTGCCCATACAACCACTGTGGGACTATATTTCTCAACACGCCTCCTCACACGAGAGCCACTGGGCTTGAAGGGGGTGGACAACATACAAGCCTACCTACATGTGAAAATTCAACTAAAAAGAAAGTGTCCCCTCACACGAGAGCCTAGAGCCCACTGTGTTTGAAGGGTGGACAACATACAATCCCCCTCATCTACATGTGGAAATTCAACTACAAAGAAAGTGTCCCCTCACACGAGAGCCCACTGGACTTGAAGGGTAGACAACATACAAGCCCCACCTACATGTGGAAATTCAACTACAAAGAAAGTGCCCCCTCACACGAGAGCCCACTGGACTTGAAGGGTGGACAATATATAAGCCCCACCTACATGTGAAAATTCCACTACAAAAAAAGTGGGAGGCCATGGAATTTAGAATGCTCTAAATTCCACTACAATCACTGTGGGACTATATTTTTCAACAAGAACATAATTTAGAATTAAACTCATGAGAGTGGGGGAAAATCTTTTGCCGAATCGCCTCAGTTGCGAAAATGAACTCTCATAATTTTTTTTCTTGTAATCCATCCGTGTTGAAACTTGTAACATGTTTAAATCACATAATGGAATATATCTTATCTTAATTTTTTAACCAAAAGGGGGGGGGGGGGGGGGGGGGGGGGGGGGGTGGGGAAGCTTTCAATTCTCTTTCAAGCTTCAACTTTAAACTGGATTTAAATTTTAGGCACTGGGAAAGCAGGAAAAGAGAATAGGGGTCATAAGGCTTGGACACAAGTTTATTTTGTACGCTTAAAATGGGGCACATTTTTTTGTTTGGTTCGGTTTTTACTTGTTAGCACAGTTCATTGGTAGTTCAAAGCTTACTAATATATTATCAATGACATAACGTGTATTTGTATTTTATTTTATTAAAAAAACTATATTACTGCTGTTTGGATAGTGTCAATAAAAACAAATTTTAGAGGTATAGTTATCAAGAGGGTTGAAGACAACGTTTGATGTTGAAGCTAATGTTTGAAAAAATGAAATTGGACACATTAGTTGAACCGGTCAAATTGTAAACTTGTTATATCTCTAAATATAATTTTGTTTTTGAACTTTCTATTGGTTTAATTTTCGATTCAGTTTTAAAAATATTTTTAGAAGAATTAGAGATGTCATCAATATATTATAATCATAATCAATCATTTAGCGGCATCTGATTCTGGGGTCATTTTCCATTTAACTAGTTGAGGTCCCTCTTTAAGTGAACAAAGATCACGGAATTTTTTCTTTATATCTCAACTTGGGATTTGCATTGGAAGGTAGGGTTTTAAGAGGGAACGACAAGTCGGCAAGGATGGGAGATTTCAGATGTGGGTAAGTCCTCTGCTTCGTTTAGGCCTTTGTCCCCTTCTGGTGGGCCTTTCCTCTTTTTTACTCAGATTCCTTTCACACACACAAAAACATATGTCACAACCAGCTTTGATGTTGTATTTGGTGTCTTTCTAAAATTGACAATTCAAATTTTAATTTTTTTAATTAAATAGACATTAAGCTTATTTAGATGGCACAAGAGAAAAATTATGAGGATTAATTTCTATCCTAAAATCATTATTTTTTTTACCTGTACTTTCCTAAAAAATAGTAATAATAATTAATTAGGCATCATTTTCCTGTAATTTTCAAATTTAGGCATTATACATATATATATAATAATAATGTTCTATTTTATTTTATTTTCCTTGACTTGGTTGTACTAGGAAACAGAGACTAATCCATTTGGTCCGAATAAACCAATTCACCAAATTGAATTTTATAGGCCGATAATAAAACTGATATGTCTCAGAGAAAATCAGGCCTGCGAGAAACTGTTTGATTAGACCGTATTTTCACTCTCTCAATTGTTGTTGGGCCACGTATTAGGAAAGCTAAATGGACAATTTAATACATCTCTAGCACTTGCTTCAAGGGTTGATAAAAAACAAAAATGTCAAACTTCTACACGCATATTTGTATTTAAATGATAGGAAAACATTTTCTCCTTTTAAAAGAAATTTTTTTTCTCATGTTAATGACTCATAGCATAAGTGGGTCCCACAAAATAGTAGAAAGAGAAAAAATTCAAGGTGGGACCCACTTATGCTTTGAGTCACTAACATGAGAAAAAATTTCTCCTTTAAAAGGAGAAAATATTTTCCCTTAAATGATATATATCTCTAATGTTCCTCCCATTCTCTCTTTTAAAATTTTAAAAAATACTTATTAAGAGTTATTCAGCAATATATAATAAGTTCATTTAAACAGGGATTAGTATATGACAACTTGTCAGGCTGATGAGATTTTTAATTTGCCAAACATATCCCTAATTCTTTTAACATATAGCCTTTTTTTTAAGTATAACTTGGAGGTATCCTCATTCAACCTTCTTCAGTCACCTTGCCCTCCAAGTATAGCCCTTTTGAGGAGAGAGGCAGGCACGTCCTCTGAACTTCAAAGATTTTTCAAGAAATTGCTTGAGGTAAGATTTGAACCCCTGACTTATTGAATATATCACAGCAGCTGTATCAGTAGATTCCTATAGCAGCAATAGCTAACTGAATGTAGTTGTAGTCAGTTAGTTTAGTTAGTTTATATATTTCCCGCCTTTTATAGTTAACTGTTAGTTAACTGTTATTTCTTGATTATATCTTGTATAGCTGGTTACTATAAATACCAGTTTGTACTCATTTCATCATTAATTCAACTTTTATCAATTCTCAATATGGTATCAGAGCAATAATTGTTCTAGTATCCAAATCCTTTCGATTCTATTCCTTTCTTCAAACATGGCAGATCCCAATTCCTCCTCCAATCCCTATTACCTCCATCCCAATGAAAGTCCATCATTAGTATTGGTAACTTCATTGATGAATGGAAGAAACTTTCATACTTGGCAGAGATCGATGCGCATGGCATTGCTCTCCAAGAACAAGATCGGGTTTGTTGATGGAACAATCATCAAACCGAATGCAGATGATCCTCTCCTTGAAAATTGGGAGAGATGCAACACAATGGTAGTTTCTTGGTTATACAGATCAATCACAGAGTCGATTGCTCAATCAGTTCTCTGGATGGACAAGGCAAACGATGTATGGAAGAATCTTGAAGACAGGTTTGAACAAACAAACATTTTCAGAATTTCAGATCTCCAAGATGAAATCTTCAAGATTCATCAAGGAGATAGATCTGTTTCTGATTATTTCACCCAGCTGAAGATTCTCTGGGATGAATTTGAAAGCTTACAACCAGTATT